TGAAGGATGAATTCTACAAGAACCTCTATCAACTGCTTCAAAGTACTCGGTCAGCGGACATTGTGGTAGTCGCTGGAAACTTCAATGCTCAAGTGGGATCCCTGGACGAATCAGGGAGGTTACTTGGCGCTTCGCANCAGACTGACAACGGAGAACGCCTCTTCCAACTTTGTGCTGACCAGGGACTGTTTCTGTCAAGCACGAACTTCTCGCAAAAGAAAGGTGACATATCCTCCTGTGAAAACCGCAGAAGAATTAGTTTAATAAATATTGCCTCTAAACTTCTCGCTGGTATCATACTCCGCTGATTATCTACCGCACGTGAACGGTGTATGCGTTAGAATCAAGCTGGTTTCAGACCTGATCGAGTCTGTATTGACCACATTTTCACAATTCGTCAAATTCTAGAACGTAGACACTCCTTTCGTATACCCACCACTTCTATCTTCCTCGATATAAAAGCGGCTTTCGACTCAGTCAACCGCTTTAAACTCTGGCGCTGTCTTTCCCTGAAGGGAGTGCCCGAGAAGATTATTTCAGTATTACAATCCCTCCACAATAATAGCCGAAGCCGAATCCGAGCTTACGGCACTTGTTCACCCGAGTTCACCACGGAAAGTGGTGTTCGACAAGGTTGCCCTCTCTCTCCGTTTATATTTAACCTCATGGTAGACTCAATTCTTGAAACAGCTTTATCTTCGTGCAAAGATAGCGGCATCGATTTACTTCCAGGTGGTAGACTGTCCGATCTAGAATATGCAGACAACATTGTGCTACCAAGTGAGTTGCAAGCTTTTCTGCATAGTTTGAGTGCTAGTGTGTCCATGTTTGGTATGCCTTTTTTGCACATTCAAAGTGTAAAATGCTACTACACGATTGGGCTGGTCCAGCACCGAGTCTCACCCTAATTAGGGAAGTAGTAGAGGAAGTAGACAATTTTTGCTATCTGGGCAGCTATATCTCACCTGGCGGACGCATCACAGATGAAGTGTCGGCGCGTATACAGGAAGCTCGGTTGGTATTTGCAAACTTGAGACATTTGTGGCGCCATCGCGACATCCGGCTGTCTGTGAAGGGTCGAGTGTATGCTGCAGCAGTTTGGTCAGTCCTGCTCTACGGTGCAGAGACTTGGCCTCTATGGGAACATGATAAAAATAGATTATCGGTGCTGGAACACCGCTGTGTACGTCGCATTGAATGAGTCTAGTGGAGTAACCGGACGAGCAATGCTGAGGTTAGGCGTAGAGATTTGTGCACTCGCGTTCGTTTAATGGAACAAATGATCGACCTCCATAGATTACGCTGGTTGGGGCATGGGCTACGCATGTGTCCAGATAGGTTGCCGCGGCGTTCGATTTTTGCCAAGGCTGGTAGCGGATGGAAAAAGATCAAGGGTGGTCAAACTAAGACTTGGCATGAGGGTATGAAAACCCTAACCAGCAGACTAGGTCACATAGGCCCCGTTAGGCTCCCTGGCTGGGGACCTCGGGATGATGGTCACTATGAAAACCCTAAGCAGGTAACTGGGTCACATAGGTCCTGTTAGGCTCCCTGGCTGGGGACCTCGGGATGATCGTAACCGAAGGTCACATAGGTCCTGTTAGGCTCCCTGGCTGGGGACCTCGGGATGATCGTAACCAATGGTTATAGACACTGAGTGATATGGCTAGTTGTCGCAAACAGTGGCGTTCGTGCATCCACTCACTATTCCTCTATCACTATTCTATATGAATTCTCCATGTTCCGCTTGAATTTGCTTTCAACATTCAAATCTTCATTCTGTTCATTTATCTAAATGTGGCACCAAAAGACAGCAAATAAAACCGGCGCACGAAAGTGCCTGGTTAATGGTTGTAAAAACTGAACTGAACTTATGCAGCCGAGGGTTCAGTTTTCCGTGGACCACGAATTAATGCCTTGTAGAGCGTTGCATATAATACATATGGGGTTGCAACTGGTGGAAGAAACTTTGTGAACGTTTGCGATTAAGGTGGGGAGCAACTGGTGCGGGGTTCGTCGAAATTTCAATCTGATTTGATTTTGTCGGGGAGATATGATTTGCGGACAGTTTTAACTGATAGGATTAAAACATACAATTCGAAGCGATGGCCACTTTCCAGATTGAATTTGATATCAATATTTCAGGCTTTTCGTGCAATAGGAAGATCAGAGCAGAGCAGAACAGGATTAATCTCAGACACAAGGAGTGAGGGGTAATCGAATGGCATTGCTCGAACACTTCAAGATATGAGAGAGCACTGCCTCCTTGCACCATAAGATTGCTTCAATGCCGATAGCATTTCAGTACGGTTCCATTTTATCATGTGCTGCTTGCAATTCAAGACAGTCATTATGATAATGTTGATGTGATTAGTGAAACCCCAATGGCGAAATATACGACGAACCATTCATGAAAATAAGCATCAATGAGCATGGCATACCCTTGGTATCCATTAACTGCGTCTGTACATGCAACAAATAACATCAGGCTATAACTTGAACTTTTGATCGAATGTAATCGTTCAAATAATAATCATCATTTCACTGCTCCTCTTCACTTTTCAAAGGTACTGCCAAAGTGTCTCATTTTAAACGATATCCTCTGATGAACATCATAATTTCACGAAAAGCAATCCTCGGAAGCTACTTTTTTTTGCTTCTGGTTCCTCATTTGTTCACAGCTGATTTGCGTGTGCTTCAGGCCCCAATCGGGTTTGCGTTTCGTAGGTCCGTCGCTCGTTCACTTACACTCTTCCGCTTCATACGCATCCGGTCATGTGACAATAAAGCTACCAACGCGCTGATAGGTTGGTTTACTATCAGTACGCTTTGCTCTACTCCACTTGTGCAGTCGATCAATATGGTCATGCGAAACCAATCCAGCAGTTGTGCGTGCGGCCGCACCCACTCATAATCAGACACACACACACACGCGCGCAAGCACCCATACACATACACATACACACACGCATTGAGGTCGTCTTGCAATGCGTACACATGACCGGGTACAGTGCAACCAATTGTCATTGTTGTTGTTATTTATGAAGAGTTTAGGGCCTACGGTATTCACTAGGATTGTAATCAATTGACTTGGTAGCTTTACACTGACTGATTGGATTTCGAAACTAGCAATGCAACTAACATCACAAAGAGGGAGAGAGTATTTGTGGATCCTGTGATCCTGGGAATCTATTGTGGTGGCTGATCGTTTCATCTGTATTTCACCACTTCTGTTTTCATCCTCACGGATCTATATAGTCTGCCGGGATCACAGAAAGCCGCCACAGCCGGCCAGCTGATCGAGCTTCCGGCTCCGAAAACTGTGGGACGTGTGNTTGTGATGGAAGCGGCCACCTATTCGAGTGACGACTACGAACTTTTGTGCGATTCCGGCTCGATCAAACCCGGTCTCGGTCGTATACCGCTGACCTCAATGTCTGGTTCACGTAAAAAAGCCGGTTACCCGTGGTCGTCAAACGCACTGGATGAATCGAATCAGACCTCGCCCGCGGGAGAGGTTCGACCACGGTTGCGACGAGCCTTGACCGAACGTGATAGGGATCGGATAGCTACCAACCCCATATGTTCGAAAGCTGTTCACGCGGTAGACGATATCGAACCCCGACGTCGACATGGGATATTTTTAGGGGATCTACTTGACTGGAGAGAGAATGGACACCATGGTACGGGAATAATCGTGAAGAATGCGGTGAGTTTGAGCCTTGCCATTCAGTTTCATTTAACTACTTAGAACAGGTTGTCATGTAACGGACAGTGCACGGGGGCAAATTCATTCATGTTTTGGTTATGGCAACTAGGATCTAAGCCCTATAACTGGAATTGGTAATCAATCAAAATACCTCAAGATGACAGATGCGCTTTTGCGTTGGTCAACTCTCTACCGTTTATGGTTGACTACCGTGCATGGGTTGGAACCATAACACATAAAGGAAACATTTCGGCTGTTAATTCTTTCTTTTTTTGATAGAAAACCCACCAAATGAAAAAAGTAAGACCATGAAAAACTTTTGAACCTATGATTTTAAATGACACGTTGCGATAACAGTTCGATAGATTAGTAAGTTAGCCGGATTGCCTCCGCTGCCCTGTACAAGATTCCAGCCTTGAAAACAACGAAAAAATGTGACATTTGACATCTGAATATGGTGGGGACGAAGGGCACGCGCGAAATTGGCCAAGCTGACGTGTCCTTGGTTCACAAGTAAATTTATGATTTAGGTGTTGCTACAGTGAAAACAGACATTTGTGTGTAACCCCAGCCGTTTCAAACGGGCAATACACACCATTGTTGGACAGAGGAATAGCATTCCATAAAAACCATCAACAACAGTAAAACAAAACAGATAACAATGTAGGCCTCAAAACTGAGAGTCCTAAATCGATTTTCCGAGAGCTTATTCAACCACCAAAGGCAGTGAATGATTTTGCTTGGACCAAGTTAGATTTATTTCGTTCTATTTACAACCGATGCGGGCAGCGACGGGAACTCTATCTCTGATTTACGACCAACGAAAATTTCTTTCACTCATTGCATCATACAACGGACCATTTGTTTCACACCACAGTGTGCAAGAAAGCGAGAGAGAAAGAGAGGGAAAGTAAATCCCATGGTTCCGATTAATAGCTGATCCGTTTCGGTAACCAATATCCCTATAACTCGAATTTTCAAACCGTGGTTAAACCCAATAGAGGTTGAGTGTAGTATCGAGCCGAAGGGCTGCGCAATTCTCCACCCCCGAAGCCGGTTGACGGCAGTAAAAGGGAACTCGGACCTTGCACCAATTGACCCGGGCCACTTCAGTTCCAGCGAAATAAATTAGTTGAGTGTCAGCGCACGGTTGGTCTGTGAATGCAATTCTCTTCCACTTTTTTCCGTTCTTCTCCACGTGGACAAAATTCTTAATATGAAGTTTCTCAAATTAAAAAAATTCATATTTTTGATATGAATAAAATTACTTTGGGTAGTAAAGAAGGACTTGTGTAAATATTCAATCGTTGTGACTGGAGGGATCATGACAGCTCGAATAAGGCTGAGCTTGTAGTAATTATATTTACCTGATTGATGGTCCTCGTCAAACTTTTTCGTTCAGTTGGTGACAAAATGCATGCGTTTATTCACATGACATGATACGATGAATATCTTACCGGTTACCGACCAATGTGATACCATCTTTGCGCTCAGCATACCGCGCATGCCGTCGCTCAGTCGTTGACAGCCTAAGTAAATTGCGAAGGTCAGCACCGATCACGAGATCAGCTATGACAATTCAGACAGTAATTCCAATGAAGACAATAGTAACGGTTAATCTCCTTGCNCCTTGCGTTTCCAGGTTGTTTAGAGCTCACGTGATCCGTGTTGAATGCAGGTGGGTCTAGCATTTTTTGTGTGTGAAGAAAGCCTCAAAGAACAATGTACAGCCTCTTAGTGAATCTGGTATGAGAATAATTGGAAGATAACTTAATTACGTATTTTCTTTTGAATGTTTCTGGCTTTATCAACTGCAATCCACGTAGCATTTTATGATGTAATCAATGGCCTATATGCTGAGTTTTAGTGGGTCCGTAACAGGCGAATTGTAGTGATTCTGAAGATTGCAATTTTGCGTCATTGACCGAATAATTCTTGATCCATGAACTGATTTGACGTAAACGGGGTTCGGATTTTCTTTCTAGTAGGATTGGTTCAGGATAATTCGATTCTAATAGGTCTTCTGGCGGATTAAGTAGCACCGCAAAATAGAGAGAGTGAGAGAGACGAACTTGGAATTCCATCCCTAATCCTTCCAGAAATATATATTTAGATATATATAAATATTTATTGAAAAATCTTTATGTTCTAGTTGTAGGCTGAGATAGATTAGGGTGGCTGTCGGCAAATCCGTGAGATTGGTCATCGTAAACGTGGTCGACTAATTGCGTTTTCTTTTCAGTCACTTGAAATAGAACAGTTTCTTGCATGGAGTATCCGCTGAAAGATGTTTTGGTTCAATGTGTCCATGTTATTCTCGAATTACCGGAATTAGTAAATAAAACGTTTGGTATTGTCTATAGTTTCATTGATAATACCAATAAGGATAATCCACTGAATACTGCCATCTTAACATGGTAGTAAATGAAGCGTGGTTTTCCATAATTTGTCCATCGGGTTATTACGGTTTTTCAAAGAATTTGTAAATGTCACAAGTGTAACGGTCTAATGGTGATGAATATGATTGTTTTGGTGTGATGTTGTGATATGTGGTTTGAAAATGAAGAGACGGAGTCGTTTGGTCGTTGTCGTTGTTGTTGTGTGCCTTGTAAACAGTGACAGCCAAAAGATTGAGTGAACTGCTCCATTTGCGATTCGCGTCCCTGGGTCTTGGCAACAACGATTATGATCATCTCGATCGGTTGTCAGGTCGAGCCCAGGGTAAGAAAAGTGATTGAACAGATCACTTTTGAGATCAAAGGAGCGGTTTTGAGTAGGTAAATCACCACGGCCTCAAATGTTTAGCAAGGTTCAGTTGACGAACAGCTTTCCATGAGTTTGCGAGCCTTTAAACGCCTCTTCTTCCATGTGATGGACTGTTTTGCAACCTGATCTACCACTGTACTTGCATTTACCTTCCTTGTTCTGGCACTCAACCAAGCTGATTTGTGCTCCCTGATTCTTTGCTATAATCAACTGATGGGTTTTTTATTTCCTTGGCTTTATTTTAACTGAATGTGCAATTTAATATCAGGCAGGTTGGCAACCAAAGACTGAGGAAGACCGGTTATTACGTAACACGAGGACAATTGGATATCCCATATCATTGCAAAAACTTGCCGGTTTCAAATACTGACTTTTGTTGCACATACTTGAAGAATTATATCTTAATTCAATCTATCGAACACATCCAAACGACACAACAAAAAACTCTGCCCTTTCATTTTCACACCACGTGTCTCAAGATCATGATCAAACAATCGTGTTCATCACAGCGGACCATCACACTACTTTCACAATTTTGTTCGCTACAGTGTTTTCATAATTATACCTGTTTCAGGAAGGAGAGTTCATATGAGCTAATTTCACATTTATACATCTCCCTAGGAAACCATCTATTCATATCAGCGGAAATTAGTCAAATTTCAATTAGAGAACGTAATATCAAATTTTTGTTCTTATATTTGAAATATTGATTTAAATAACTGCGAAATTCGTCGGGTTAACGGTTGAATAAATAAGTTGGTTGCAATTATTTTGTGGAATCTTCTTTATCAAGGTGTTGTAAGAACCTTACTTTACTGTGAGTTTCTGTACACCCCTGTCTGTCGCTATTCTCTCTCCAGGTTCAGAAAGATGGTGAGGTATCCAAACTATCCAAGGTTCCTCGTCCTTGTACCCGTGAATCGAAAGACGTGGATTTCAGTCGACCGACTCATCCGGGTTTCGATCCAAGACCTCAATCCACGGTGTCACGTGATCGAACCTCCTCGCAACTGGCCTCTGATGATTCATCTAATCTGATCAGTCCCACAGTAGGACCAAAGCATAATTCGAATCGATCTGCAAGGAACCGAATCGATTTCACAGGAGGTAATAGTAAAGAAAGAAGCGTGAATGAACGAGCCGGATCGGAACAAGCTGCAAAAGGTTAGTTGAACTCAAGTCTTGCAATTGCTCACTTGACCACTGATAAACTGAGTGCCTGATTATTAGAAAATTTGATACAGTTTTAAAGGGACAGTTTTGTTTTCCATTTCATACGGAGCACTGTTTAGAAGAAAAATTGTTGGATTACGTTCATTTTGGTACACTCTGATTTATCTGTGATATGCGTAGGAAAAAATATTACTCATGTCTCTCCCCTTGTATTTGTGTGTTTCACGTCTTCGTGTTCAGACAAATGATCGTGGCAACTTAGATCATTGTTAACCCATTCGGGTTGACAACAATCTCCTAATCAGATTTAATTGTTTGTTTTTGTGCTTCACTGACGATTTTTGTTAGCACGTCCCATCGACTCGGCTTGACTCTCCTTCATGCTTCATATTGACGAGCAGTCCTCATTTCATATAGCCAACTGCGAACTCGGGAAGCACTGGTTTTGAGTTTCGCCCTTGTTAGAGCTTATTCATGATCTAAACACCCCATCCTGTTCGAGATTTTAACTTTGGACACCCTCCCCCCCCCCCCNCCCCCCCCGGTGTGGAAGGTTTGTGTGTTTTACCGCTGTGCCGACTATGTAGAACTAACAACTTCAAGTTTGTTCAAAAATTGTCTTCAACAATAATTAGTCAATTCATTTAATTCAACGAAGGAGACACAGTTGACTCTCTGTTAGCTGTACTCGAGACCCTCTCCCAGTTGACGCTTCTATGTGGGTTCGGGCAATTTTACCCTAGTTAATCCTACTAAGGATCGTTCTTCAAGATGAAGTCTGAAGAATTCGTTAGTGCCAATAAGTACCATCTTCCCCCCGCTTTCCACAACTACTCACAAGTGTCTGTGAGTTCATTCCGAATGTCTTCTAACGGTATATTCTCGAAAGTCGTGCCTCTGAGTGATTTTAGCCAATGGTTCACAGATCTCAACAACAGTACACTTTGCAAATGGGACTGAAACTTTTACAATACATCCCTCCGAATAGAGGGGGGGGGTAACAGTTCTGTCAACAAAACTAGTCACTAACCTGTTCGGTCTTCAAGTGATTACGTGTTCCAACTTTAAATCGTTGAAAGTACATACAAAACGGATATGGAGATTTGGTTTCGGAATCTTAGTCCCTGTTATTCGTATAATCCGATGTGAGTCATTCTTCCCAATCAATGCTGACCTAAAACAGATCCGAAATCATTCATGTTCTATGGCCGATCTAATCCGTTTGTAACTTTCCACAATTAAGATTGTGAGGCAGTGACCAGGCCTGTTTTGGCATGCAACTGAGGAAAATAGATAAAACTTTGTAAATAATAGCTAAATTTCTTTGTGGTTCTCATAACTCATGTGAATTTACCGGGAGGGGGGCAACGATCGATATATCTGTTACACGCGTCAAAAAGGAACAGCCGAAACCCGGTTCCCGGTTAATCCTTTGTGTTCCCGAAAATAGCAGCATAGATACAGAAGAACTGAAATACATAAGTCTATTACAGAACGAGCAGTAGCGAGGCTCTTGTTTGGCCTTAATTGAGTGAATAGGATTGCTCAAACTAATTCGATACGCTATCTGTACCCTANACCCCCCCCCCCGCTTGCTTAAGCCAAGAACAATTCTCAACTGAAGAGGAAGAACAAAACCAAATTTACTTACAACAAAGTTAATCTGATGACATTCAAGACTCCAGGTCTGTATATACAAGTATTTGTAGATCTATTGTTATTCTTATTACTCTTCTCGCGTCTATTCTTCATGAAGTTCACCAACTGGGTTTTTAATGTGTTTTCGTAAAGGTGGTCCGTTGACTTCTAGCTTTAAAACAAATTTAATTTTGGTTCACATTCAGGTCCGGGCTATATAAGTTGGCAACTAAATCAAGTGAACTTGTAAGAAGCCTTTTCTGAAGTCTGAAAGAAACTAGTGAAAGAACTGATCTTCTTGAATCATTTTGTTAACAAACCACCGGTTAAACATGATAAATGTCATAAAATAGCAAGACGCTAACTCCTAAGGTAGATTTCTTTTCATTTAATTCAGGAAATATTTTCCCGGTAAAGAATCCTCCGTGGCCCATCACGCACCATAAATTCGTTCGCGGACAAAATGATCATGGAATCGGTTTCGGTCGATGATTAATTACCTTAGCAGTGTTTATACAGACCCGTCCTGGTTGAACGTTGAACATCAGCTGTCATCTAACGTATATCAAAAACATTTTCATCCTTCTTTTTAAACGAGGTTAACTGTGATGAGGTGAAGGGTTTCCTGCAGGATGTAGAACAGAGATTTTTAATACAAAGGCGCACTTGTGAATGACATAGTGACTGAAAGAATGATATCTAATAAATAATTGAAATGATGGAATCTGTAAGAGATTATTAGGGCGGTTCTTTACATCGGTGTGATCAAATTACTTGCCTACACACGCCCTTGAAGGTCGCCCCTTTTATATGATCAAATGATTTGACTTCGGCGATTAAGATCACGTTTGATTAACAATGATATGGCCTGAAATTGGCTTAATCCAGGCTGAATTGTGGCATTTACTGAAACTGTAATGTAGGTCACATTCGCAAGAACACTCAAACTAATGATGCAGCAAACGTTCCAATGTATCCCACTCGGTGCCTGTTGTACTGTTACCTTTGACCCGGGGAAGAAAGGAATAGTAAACATCCACAACAAATAAGTGCACGATAAGCGGACAATGATTTTCAGCTTATAGTTCAGAGACGGAATACGGTTGACAATCTCTCTGGACGAGAATATGGGCCTCTAACAGCGATCTACGAAGCATTCTCATTGAAAAACTGCAGTCACAGAATTCTCTTTAGACGAGATTGAAGTGAGCTATTCCCGTTCTTCCTACCAATCCGGGTGATTCTTTATCCTCGAGCAAATCTAATCCAGATCGGTGATGGTCATGTGGTATAGGTCAATCACCCAACGCTTTTCGGTTTGTGAGTTAGAACTCCACAAGCGTTGTCTGACTTTCCAAACCGTCCTTTGATAACCGTTCGGCAATCATGACCCCCTTCAAACATATTAATCAGACAAATTTCTTTCAAATCTGAACCAAATGGAAATAGAAAAGAAATCATATTTCATATTATTTTCATTATTATTATTATAAACATTAGTATTGGTGTTATTTTGAAAAGCTCCACAGTGGAGTAAGTGGCAGCAGGATCGAAAACAGTAAGGGAATACAGTAACGCAACCAGCAGGCTCGCTGGCAATCCACGAAACACTGGAAGCAGCTCATCTCTGGTCTCTTTTGAACAATGTCAAATTGATTGTGCTAAAATGAACGGTTCTGTCTCTACGACACATAGGGCGATTTTCGTATTTCTTCGGAAATGAACAACTGCCACACCCCTCAAATTAGAAGGGCCTGGGCATTATTATCCAAGAAAACTTAAGATTCTCACTAAACTGCACCAGGGTGTCCAAAGAAGCTGTAAATGTCGGTTTGTTTAAGCGGGGCTTTGGCCGGTTTGATTCAGCGCCTTCCTCCCGTTCTCTATCAGCATACATTCGCCCACTCACAGAGTACGCCATCCAGGCATGGAAGCCATGGCTACAACGTGATTACAAAGCGCTGCAGCGTCCACAAAGGATGGCCACCAAAATGGTTAGGGGGTTGGATTGTTATTCATACACAGAGAGATTGAAGTCACTGAGGTTATATTTCAATCACAACCGGCGCATCAGAGGAGATATGACTGTGGTATACCAAATAATGCAAAACATAAGACATCCGTGTCGCTCGCTGCTAAAATAACTCCAAAACGTTCACCTTGGAGGACATCCGTTCAAACTAGTGGTCTCAAAATGCCGATTGGCATGCCGATTTCAGTCATTCGCAATCAGATTATGTTCGATCTGGAACTCTTCCCCACCCCAAATTGTTTGTGAACGAAGCACTGAATCTTCCAAATTAAGACTCGAGGAAACATTAGCACATTCTACATTCCAGCATAAGTAAAGCTGCGTGCATTAGTGGAAGAATCTCATATCATGTGAAATTTTACACAAGGAATTGTATGTATTACTGTCTTTTGATCACAGCACGAACCCATGGGACGAGAAAAGCATGAGCTTGTAAGTTATTCCCTTAATAAATCTTTGTTTGATCTTTGACTGTGGTGAACGCGGCTGAGAAAATGTGATGTGTAATCTCACTCCCCCTTTTCCTGATAAATTCGGATGGAACAATGTAAAGCTTAGCTCAGTAGCGTGATACAATTATGGATACCAAATGAGCGTAGAATAAACATAACTGCTCTAAAATCAGTTGCCAGATGGATATAGGCATCTGAATACTTCCTCAATTTTCCCGCGTATCCTCTTGTCTTTTACTTCATGCAGCGTAGTGCTTTGTTAGTTGACAGGCTCGAACAAAAGCTTGTGATTTCCATCCCGAATCCCAACTGACTTGATATACATAGTTGAATTCAGCAGTCTGATTTGATGCGAACTCCAATTAGAGATATCCCGACAAAAGCTGTATTCCTTTTCTATTTGGTAGGAGAGTGGATTAAAGAATTCTTTCTTTCTTTATATCCGTTTGAATAATGCTCTGTCCCCATTTCCTGTCCTCTAGATCCGCGAACAACACAAGCCACTCCAATTCTCACATTGCTTGCTGCCCCCAAAACCGCACTAACAAATCCACCGGTGAATTCCCCTGAGGATTCGCGGATATTTTTCGATTGGGAACCTCCACCACCACCTCCTGGTCCGCCTCCACCCGACGAGGATGGGTGCGAGCCTCCAAATGATCGACCCCACCAGCAACTGAACCACCAAATATCAGAGGTGTCCAACCTTTCCCCTTCACAAAGTAGTCGAGCCAGCACAGTCTTTTGCCCTCCATGGGACACAGCACCCATGGGCCTGTATTTATCGGATTTGATCAATCTAACTCGCCCGCTGGCCGGCTCAGTGATTGGTAATGGAAGTGCAAATAGGACGAGAGATTCTCTACTGCGCCGACGCACATTATCTATGCTTGAACATCGTCTCCTCAGTGAACGTCTTTCCGCTTTGAGCGATTCGGGTAACGCCGGTCGTGGGGAATTTCAAAAGCTTCTACACCTGTGGATACAATCAAATCCCGTGGATCGCGTCGAGAAAGAGTGTCTGTCCGGTGATGAAGCCGCTCCACCCCCTCTACCACAACGTCGAAGGAGATCACGTGGACAAAAGACAAACACAATCAATGGAGATGAAACTGAAGCCGTAAGGACAACGGAAGTCAGAGTAGGTGTATTGCATTGACTGATGCGTTCCCTGACTGACTGCTGAACTGTTTCGCGCGTATAACTGATTAACTTGAATGACACGTGTCACATGGCATAAAAATCTCAATCAGATTAATTGAAGTAATAAAATCTATGGTTACAAGTCGTTGGATGGCTTGTGATCTGTTTCTCCTTCATCCTTTGGATTTGCACGAAAAATAAGACCCAATCAGGTTGAGACAGCTCTACAACGCTGCCTAACCTTTTGTTCACAATGAATGTGCTCTGTACACGACGAAAGCAAATCAAATCCTCCACTGCTCTCCTGTATCAAGAAGTCAGGTTCGAAATTTGTCCAACCGAGTAATAACCCCAGAGGGTTGTGCTGAAATACGCGAGAGGTGATGCCTGCAATAAGCTCACAAAGATGGGTTTGGCTATATCGTGTGTAAGAAAAATTAAAAACAGTCCGATCACCTACCTGTGATCTATTGGGTATTAGGCCTTGGTTCCAACTGTGCTATCCCGGGTACGATCTTTAGTCAGGTTGATGGATTCGCATTGCTCATGAGACTAAATCGGGTCCAAACACCTGTACCCTTATGCGGTGGTCCTAGTTTGCGAGATGATGCATGCCCTGGATCGATACGTTACAGTTTTCGGACAACTGTGATCAATCAAACTTCAGGGGTGGGGTCAGCAAAGCGCGTGAGCGTCACAGCTTCTGGACTACATATCACAGGCTGGTTGTACCAGCTAATTAGAAACCGTGCGGCCCAGATAGAAGCTGAACAACACCAGAAATACTAAAACGCGATTGGCAGAGGCCTGGATGACCAATGAGCTTGTTTTGTACATATTATTTAATCCCCCTAATTTCTTTTAATAAACGAACTGCTACTCCTGTGGCCTTTTCCTCGCATCTCGGTCACGTGGGATACTGTCGTGCAAGTGCCAGTATGATCCAGTGTTTACTTGGCATCCGTGGTTTCTAATGCGTGATTCGTATTTCGTGGTTCGTATTTCGTGATCATTGCATACTACACCTTACCGCTTCATCTGTTCGAAAAACGACAAAAATCCCAGATTACTCTAGGTTGCGGTTGAAAATTTCTTTAGCCATAAATTTTTATTGTCTGTGGAGCAGGACTAGATAAACAGGGTTTTCTATTGTGCTCCTCTTCTTTAATAAAAGAACTCATCTCGTTCAAAAGCTTATCGAAAATTACCCAGGGGAAAAATCTGGCAAATAATTTGATTACAGCATACTTCTCCATGCGTCTCTGGAAACCAGTCTGAGAACCCATTATGATTGCATGATTGATTGATGGAACGTTAGTTTTTGCGTGGCATTATCAGTCAAGCCCATTGGCTGGACCATCATGCAATTTTGCCGATTGGTTGGGCGCTGATGTTGATTTTGATTTGAAACAGACCACTTGCTTCGATTGGCCTTTGATTTCAAGGAGAACCTCGCTTTAGTTTTTGTTACATAGAAAGCTACAATAAATATAAGCACTTTTTTCTGTTGGTAAATATAACCTCGTGAACTTGCGCCACAAACAAGAATATTGTCCAAACGTATTATTTACAAAAAATTGGCAGCACAAATCAAGGAGGGATCAGGACCCAACGTGGAATAAGAACATAACTTGCACTTTTTGTAAAAATCAGCAGAACGCATCTGACAATGTTGAAACTCCCGTGCCTTCTTGAGTGACTTAAAAATAGTTAGTTTTACTTTCCTGCGGCCATTTCCTGTGCATAGTTTGGTTAGCGTCACGGATAAATGCCGATGCAATTTAATGCCGAAGACTGTAGCAACAATAGATCCCTGAAAAAGGCAGAAGGTAAACTTTCCTCTAATGGAATTTTGTATTGTATTTGGACAGCATTTAGGACGATGCTTTCGGCAATCTTGTCAGTCAGTGTTACAGTTTTCATAATACCGTTCACACGGTTTTTATTTTTATCAAATGATCATTAATCTGGGGTGCAGTTCCATGAAAATATTTTAAACACAATTTCGCAATATTATTTGCCTTCTCTCCCCCCCCCGCCCGCCTGCCCCGGTTTTTTCACTAGCCATATGCAATCGTCAACTGTCCTGCGAGCAAATCGTCTCCGGAAGAGCGCGACCAAGAAAATGCCCAAGTGGAACATTCAAGATTCCAGTTAGAGCACTCTGATTCATTTGGTGTCTATGACGAAGCATTTGTTGGCCAGGAGACGACCCCATCTAGTCCAATGGATTCAGGCAACAATAAGAAAGCTGCTACCGTTGAACCAGAACCTGCAGATCCTATGAGAGGGACGCCGAGTAGCTACGTTTGTAAGTGTTAGTTCAAATGAGACCTGCATCTACCGCACTTGGCCGCCAATAAAGAAGTTGATACATTCATTTACTGACCTATAATCTGACTAACTGACTGACTGCCGCTGACCGCCTGGTTGAAGATCACTTTTACGCCCTCAAATTCGTTTAAGCTCGCTTGGTTTTTCCTTCATGGCTTGATTTAGCACTATTTTTTCTCGTTTAAAAGTCCGTTATGGTTACCAGTTCCGAACACACATCACTTTAGAACTAAGTATCGTTACACACCCATTGTACAAGTCAATTAGTGCAATTTACGGTATGTACCAGATTGTACTTCTCAATTCGTACTGCCGCTCAACGTGGGAATCTTCATGCAGTCATGCGTACAATGAGTTAGTTTATCACAATCACTGCTCTCCATTTCGACCGCAACACAGCAGTAAGAATGGACCTGACACATGTCCAAATCATTTGAACATTTCTGTATTCAATAAATAGAAAAGGGAAGTAAAGACTTTTTCAAATCCATCTACAAACTATCAGCTGAAGCTGAAATCAGTCATACAGCCTTTTAACTACGCAAGTGGAGATAAATAGTAGAAACGATAAGCAATGCGCTCACAGAAGGTTTACTGTTCGGTTGTGAAATTGGTCCTTTTCGGACTACCTTATGTTCAAATTGGATAGTTATCTTCCCGAGTCGAACAATCGCACACAGGCCCTGACTAACACGTTTCGGGGATAAGGACAGGGTGTGAGCCGCCGACCGGTAAGGCCAGTGACAGCGAGATCAACCACTTGATTGATCAACACCATCGTCAATTTCCGACATCGGGTCATTTTGATCCAGTCCACAATCGGGTGTGAACACGCATAGATTTGTTCCGTTCGACAGTGTCAAATAACCCGCTGCTACTTCCACATCGTTTCTAGCCAGTATGCAATACAAATCTGTCTGAACCTAATTTGGCTGTGCTGTCGGATATATCTAGCTATTTTCGTTGTCGTCGTTGGAGACGGCGGAGGAGAAAGGAGACAGACAATTGATTCAATGAATTCCAATCATCCTACTAGGATTTACGTGATTTGCCATTCCATATGCTAGGGATACGGACTCCTAATTTCATTACAAAACTGTTGCTTTTTGAATTTACAAGTCTTGTTCTACTTATTGTTCATCACAATAACACGTAATAAAAAGGCGACTGTTCAAAGAAACCTCAATCAGCAGATTCCATGGAGGATATAAAAACCAACCATTCCGTCAGTATTCAAACTTCTTCAATGATCAGATTTGCCCAATCCCTTTGACTATTTTCGAGTTCTTCGCAGCTCTTCTGCACAGACCCGGATAAAGGCAAAATCAGCCATTACACCAGTACACGTAGTCAGAATAGCGGCGATTGCTTCACACACCCTAATCCCGATTCACTGCACCCTGCTGTTCCGGGTATTTTGGGAATAGTCACAGTGATTTGAACTGACCTAACCACTTTGATCTGTATGTAACTATAGTCCCTGTAGCCCCGGGTACAAATCACCCGTAATCTATTTACGCATTCGCGCGCGCAATCCGGGTTCGTGTTCTGACACGGTGCACAGTGAGTTGTGGAGTGATAAGTTGCCTGCAGTGCGGTTGTATTACACATGTATTACATGCGTACAAAAACAGCGGTAACACTCGGAACCACTTCACTCTCTATGCACTGCGGACACTATGGACAGCCCCGAAACCAGTTAAATTGCACATCGTCCTACAATGAGAGCTATTCATCTGCGTAAATTACGGCTGGTGTCAAGTTTATTCTTTTATTCGAGAAACTTACTTGTTATTCGAATTGTAGCCTAAAAGTAGGGTAAATAATTCAGGTGAATACTGTTGCAGTTTATTGTGTGCGCGGATGGGGGAGGGGTATAAAGGTATTATTTTGTGATGGTCTCAGCAACAAATCAGATATGTTTTACGAATTTTTCGACATGAGCTTTTCTCATTGCACTTCTATTACCATTTCTGTCATCCCCAAAGTCAGATTGAAGTGGATCAAGTTAAGCTTTATGCTTGCGATAGTTCACGAGTGTTTGTCACAAAATGTCCAGCTTTCTGTTGTGCGGGAATCGAACAAAGCCAACTAAAATGCAATAACGTTTATTTGCAATCAGTAAAGGGAATAATAGTTTTAACAACATCATAATCTCTAGGAAATGTCCTGTGCTTAATTTGTGGATCGACACTTTGATTTCTTATCACCTTGTGTTGACATTAGGTGTTCTGAGTTTCAGCTGCGGTCTTCTTCTGAAGAGCCAAGAAGAACGTGAAAGTATTATTATTATTTTCATACACGTCTGAGTTCAGACTGTATGCCAAACAAATCACGGTACAATTATCTTTATAAAAGAAACATGCCCATTATTTGCTCGTCGGCGAGATATTCAAGTTGCCCAATCCAAAGTAGGTGGATTTTCTTAGGGAATACGCAATTGGATCCTTCGGTTGGCCAAAGCCTAACCCACAAGACAGCGGGGGCGTATAGAAACCACAATCCATTGGGGGCCGATGTCCAGTTCGTCGAATCATGCGAATGAGATCAAATGTCCAAGATGCCCAACACACCTCGATGCCCAATCGAGCCGGTGACCACTACCACGCCCAGGAAAGATGTGTGCATGGTTCGTACGCCTCATCTTGGTTAGCTTACAATCGGGGTTTTTATCCATCTTCCCTAGATGAACTGCCAGGGGTTCACTGACCTGGTTATCGACCCGGATACTGACTTTTCGTTCTCTCCCCTAGGTGGGAAAACATCCACCATGGGAAGGCAGTGATAAGGACTTCCTCAGGAGAAGTCATTTCAGACGCTTGGTCGTATGGGAGCATTTCTCGGGGTACAAGGGAGAGGTGACCAGCCGCAACCCGAGACACTCACCTCCGAGCATTCTGAAATCTTTGGATCCGAATATGAACTTAAAAGTTTGTGAACCTTACTGAGTGTTATGGATGAGATGCAACACTTTGATCAGCTGCTCGAATATCAAGTTGATGGTATATTATAAGGTCCCGGAGTCCAGCTCCAGTAAGGTCAGTGAATTCGCATTGCTCATTAGACTAGACAAAAGCAAAACTTATTCGAACAGTCTGACAAGCTTTTCATTCACCATTCATTTGTTCTTTATATCATCGACCTAAACTAGCCTTTTTCTCAGTTTACTTTTCGGAGGGTTATCATTTTTAAATCTATTACTTCCCTATTCCCTTTGCACTGGTGACTGGGGGAAAATTCCAAAACTAGCATAAAACTGATTGCATTTGTTCTCAATAAAATCAACCTTTTGATGTTCCATGTACTATTTCGGTCCTTTCTGTTGCATTTTCAAAACAGACGCACAGGTCGTACCGCATCACTTGCGTCGAAGTCAGCGTAGCACAGATAGTCATTCCCCGTCACGCCCGCCCCACCAAGAGGAACTGGGATCTGTTGCGGATCGAATTGCAAAATTCCAAGGCAAACCAATCATGACCACGGCCCGAAACAGAACCACCTCGATCAACCAACGATCCAGGTTAGACTCAATTGAACCTGTCGAGATCAATCCGTCGCCTGAACTGAACGATACTTTGGCTACCACCACTCCACCCGGTTCTCCTTCCTCCTATTCATCCAGTTCGGATGACTCTGGTTGTGGTCACGGGGACCCCGCTCCCAACTCCCATGGTCTCTTGAAGCGTACAGCCGTTCCACGTTCACTAGATCAACCGGAGCGTGTGCATCATGGTTCGGGGCGACATATACGCTACTTTGTACATAAGTGAGTCTTAAAATTGCTTTTCGATACAGTTCTTTCGGAAATGTCATGCAAGGACTTACTTCTGATTAAAGCAGTATATCAGTTTAATAACCTGTGTGAAAAGCTATTTTTATTTCGGGAAATCGGTGAACGTCGAAGCTTACCAACTAGGCTAATAGGTGTGAGTACAAAAACAGTGTATTCCTAAATCGATGAGGGTGAGGCTTGTTCAGTAGTTCTCTTTGATCAGAAACACACTCGCCGAGATTTTTAGCAACCCCAATTTTGCGAAACTGTATTAGCCATAGACAACAAGAATAAAAACAGACTTGCCGGTTATTTCTTATTTTCATACGCTATACTCCACTTGTGACCCTTGGTAAGCGAAATTGTAGACTACTATTGAGAATGTGGGTGAACTGAATGTGCATCGACAGGGAATAGATGCTTGACCGCTACTGTTGGTTTCACTCAGCCATTACACGCAGGATTTCTGTTTATATATTAGGCGGGTCCCGAAGTCCCAAATCGGTAGCCCTANTCCTTGGTCAGGGTTTGACCTTCATCTTGTCAGGCCATAATCTGAGCACCCCTTACCTGCTTTCAAGAGCTACCTACCCAAGCAAACATTGCACTCCACAGAAGCCGTTCTGACGTCATGCATCGTACGTCTCACCATCACCATAATCCACGATAGTCAAATATTGACCTACTTGCGTCACGAAATCATTGTCCGAAACTAATCTTATCCTCTACGCTTCTACCCTTGAATTCTTTGCCCGGGCCTGTTGTACAACATTCACCCAACTTCCGCTGTCTCTTAATCACTCACCAATGACCACATCGCCTGAACAGACTGCTGAAAGACAAGAACAGCAAAGTAGCAGAACAAGTGAACCTGTTCCTTGAATGCACTCGTGAAGGAAGTGATCGTGGTCCGTATCGGATTATGCAATCGGTGAGTTTTATTTATGTGTACGCATGCTCAGCAGATTCACTTGTCTCAGTTTTACCGTACTAGACCGCATATACTGCAGGCTTTCCTATCATTCTTCATATCAGTTAAGCTGAAACAAATAAAGACAGAATTCAGGTATGGATGAAACGGGAGATGACATGGGGTGTATATGTTCAGAATTGATAAATTTTGCATTATCAATTGGCGAATGTTCAAGACATTTTTTGTTCTCCGTGAACACCTTGATAGCGTATCTCGTAACACAATGTGGTATGTCTTCCGACGAACGCGCTATTTCAAAACACGAAGATCAAAAGACTGCTACAGTGAATCAGACATTTTCTTGTTTAATGTATGGGAATACACAGTAACGAAGATGTGTTCATTCTCGCCAATCCAGGGGTAAGGATCGCGGCTCCCAATCAGAAGCTATATTTTTTGGGTCCCAACAAGGAAGCAAATAGTTTCAACAAGGTGGGGACTTTATTGTTTGATCTCGTGTTCGGTATAAGATCCCGGCTTCTAAGATTCAGGTGTGCCTAACCCCCCCCCCCCTCATCGTGTTGTTCCGTTCGGATGTGAACGCTATTCTTACTGGTTTGTGCTTACGTTCGCTTCCGTTCAGTGCGCCAGAGGCTAAGGCACAAGGCGTATCAGATGAAGGTTGATAGGAAATCCGCGGGCAAAATTAATATGCGTTCCAACAAGTTCAACCTATTTTAACTATGACCAAAGAGACTGAAAGAAGGCCACAAATTGTGTACCGGTAAGTTATACAAAAAGCCTGACCAAGTGCCCGGTCTCAGTTATTGTCCAGACTAAGGTTAACGGAATCCCTTCGGGTGGTCACCTGAGGCAGTCCAATAAATGACCGTGCACTGACGATGTTGCCCTCCTTTGAGCTGACGGTAGAAACTCAGGCACCCAGAGGAGGAGTTTCTTTTTCCCGTCGTTTACAGTCTCGCAGTCAACCGGGAACACCACAGGTGTGGAAAAGGCGGAAATGGTAAATCCTCGAAAAGTGACCATGACAAAAATGGAGAGCGGTGTGCGTTATTCGGACGCTGAGGAATACTTTTCAAGCTACAAATAATATTGCGAACACTGTCACTCGAATCATGAATGAACTGTCTATCCGAAATAGACAAAAATAGAAAAAAAGTTAACACTAGTCCGTAGGGAACAGCGCGATAAATACAGAAGACATTCAGAATGGTGTAGAGCGATGCATCTTTTCTTTGTATTGAAACCATATTTTGTGCCACTTTTTTAACTGGATTTCTCAAGAGCAAACAACCCCGTGGATCGAACAAATTTCTCTGACCCAGACACTGTTTACTCTCTACGGGAGCACTGAATTAGAGTTGCATAATCTAAAATGATCTGGGTGAATGCAGGCGATGTAGCAAACTACAAGCATTGTGCTTAAATCGAGAATGAGTTATGAAACAATCCATGAACTGATCCCAAATGAATGGGATTTGGATTGGTATTCAAACTCCCATAAATGGAATCCTTCTTGCAAAGAAAACTAGCATCACCACTTCACCACCACCCACTACCTCCTATTGTAGTTTGTGTATAGACGGTTAGATTGTTGCTAGATCTAAAAACATGTCCTCGTTTATCACCCTGATCGGACTGTTTCAATTTAGAACATTTGCATTCGATCTCAACAGGCCAGTGGAACGAAGAAAATATCGGCTGCAAACAGAACAAGAACGCTCTAACATCTATCTGTTCTCTCGGATCCCATTGTCATCTTAACATTTCTGACCGATCTAAAAAATGTTTGCACCTCCTAATCCATTTCGACCCTTTAAATCCTATGTTAATTCTGATGATTTCCCGCAGATCTGCTTCACAAATGCGCACCTCATCCAAATCGCATTCATTCAGCTGTTACAGTGGTGCTCACAGATGGGTTTTTCTAGCGTAGGATCTACCTGGTTGTTTTGGAGAACTCCTACAATGGCACCACATCATTCTCTTCTGAAGCTTATTTTCGAAAATTGATGCCTGCGATTTGCTAACACGGATCGTTGAATGATAGATGGCGAGATGATTCTCATTTTTGCCTTAATCTGAATTATGTTATTTGACATCATCGGCTGACGAGTTAGAATTTGAGCCAAACTGATTCCCTCGCCTACCACAGTGATCAATATTGCTGATTTCCGTCTGACAGAATGTCCTGTATCGCATGATCCTCTTTCGATCCTCTCTCTGTCTATTACACTCTGTCCCGTTTGTTTTTTCTTTCCATTCCTTTGTTTCCCTTGATCCACCATCACTAACATCACACACATACACACACGTGCTGCCTATTCCAACTGTGTAGATTCGGCAATTTATCAGCGGAATGACCAACTACTTGCTGCGGAATCCAGATCTGGGCCTACCAGCGGCGGTGGAAATGGAAAAACAAGATGTGAGTTGTCTGTACCACCCGAATTGTGATTGAATTCACTAACTGTAAATCCAGTTAGTAACGGCACCTCATAAGGACCCCGTGTTCCGCGCTCTCCTCAATCCGTTGTATGCTGGAGCAGTAATCGAAGTATTTGTAATAAGTGCGGAAGGCACACTGTGTTTAATTACAGCGCCAGTTGTATTTAAGAGCGAGAGAGAGAGTACATATTCATCGGAATAATCAATCGCCCAGGTTGAATCAACCAATGGCGAGTAAAAGAAAAATGCATGAATTGCCGTGTACGTTGTGTCCTTTAAACCGGCAAAACAAAAAATCAATGTCGCAAAAGTGGAACTGGTCATTTAGCACAATTTTGAAACTCCGCACCAAACCAGTAAATGTGATCAGATTTTGAAAGTTCCTTACGTCAGAATACGCATATTACACATATGAAGCTGTGATTCCATCCAAAGTTGTCGTACTAACCAGTCACTTAGAAAACAAGGCGAAACAAACAGATCGTTTCACTTTTGTAACTTCGTTTACATTTCCGAGAAAGTAATTTCGTTGAGATCACAGTTCGAAGAATCATTGCATTATTTCCCAATCAACATTTTGGAAGTTGAATGAATGTGACCTGAAGCAGCTTAGCATCATAGTGACCAGAAACTGACAAACAAAAGTGCAAGTCTACACTCTTAGCCCATCATGGTTTAGGCTTTGACGAGCAAACACTATCCGTTTTCCTATACGGGAGTCAAATAAAAAAGTGGTGGAATTTTTAGGGGTCAGTAGTTGTGGAAAATATTAACTTTTTTTACTAATGATGATGTTTCAAAGATTGGTGAACTAACGAGAAGGTATGGCAACCATATGATTCTTAGTTGGTCTTCGTGTCAAAATATTCTACACTACAAATGAATTGTTAAAGGTTCAAACGATGCTTCTGTATCGTCAAACCACTTGTATGGCTGTTGCCTTTTCACCGAACCCGTTTTCAATATTCGTGGGCCTCAGAATATACCTCAGAGGACACTTTAAGGCCTGACTCAATTACAACCACATCGAAGCTAAATGATTATACGTATTGGCTGGATAAATGTGGATCCAGATGAGAGAATTGGGGGTTGAGGCTAAAGGTTGGTGTGGGACAGTAGAGTTGTTGTGCAAACTGAAACTAGTTACTTTTGCCCAGTCTTTCACAGAATAAACAGTAAACCGTTCGGTCCCGGGTCAAATGCGAAACATTCTCATTTGTTTGACTAATTTTTGATGCATTGCCGAATTAGAAAATGGTTGTGGAATAAAAATTAGGATGAACTATTGTTCAATTGTGTATGTAGTTCGCCGTTTCTGCCAGGCAGCTGCAGCGCCTCTTGCATACTCAGCTCTGTTGGGAAGTAGGATGTTTTCTAATGGCAAACCATCTCCCTCTCTTGTCACCACGTGTTCTAATGTAATAAATCAGTAATCCTCATATAATATAACTAGATCTGCAGTACGCCAAAGATGAACAGTATTCGATTGCGTTTTCGTTCGGATGCTTTGCTTCTAGGATTCAACATATTTTCTTCCTACCAACCAACTGATAAAAGAATGAATGCAGGATCTAAAATCTTATACTGTCAACAACATCGGAAATGAGCAAATTCAGGTGGTAGTTGTGTCCCTGCTGACGATGAAACAGCAGAGGAACACCAGTCGTGCTACGCCCGGTTAAATATACTTTTACTTTGAGCAATTTTAAATTTTTATTGAAGTCCGATTCTCGGTAGAAATCAGACATACGCACAAAGGTCACTAATCAAACCAAAAGGCCAAATCGACCACGATGAACATGTTACACCGATCTATCCACCCAGTTTATGTGAACACACCCGTCAACATGTGTGCTGATCCCACCCTCTATCATTGTAATCAGCTAACGCTCTAGGTACGAACCCTCATTCTTTCTTCAATCAGACGTCAACCGGTTAAAAACAACACCGACTGTAACGCAGAATAAACTTTTTGTCGCGTAGCATTCGCTGATAGAGTAACACTAAGGTAGGAAACTCAACACAACTCCGCACAATCTAGTTAGAGCACTACACACGTTCAATTGTATGTGGATTTGTGTATGTGTGTGTTCCGCGATGAGTTTGCAGCATCTAGAGCGCGGCCTCACGATCAAAACGAGAAACGTGTAGACAGAACTTATATCACAATTCATTTGAACGTCAAACGTAAACATTAAAGAAGAAAAGAGGACTAGAAAAAATACGATAGAAAATTCACACATGATGTAACCTAACCTTTGTTCTTCTTCGTTAAACACAGTCAATCAGTGGTTGTTTTTCTTTGTTTATTTTCAAAAAATAGATCAAAAACATTCCAATTTTTTCGCTTTCAGAGCGGCCGCAACACTCTGTTTACGCCTCAGAACTGACATTATAATTGTGTGGTTTTGTTGATGGATCATGTGAACACCG